AGAGGTGGAGAGACCACAGGCACTGGGTCACGGTTCTGAACGAACCGCTCCAACCCGGTTCTACAGTGTAGCTGTTAGCACACCTGCCTTACATGCAGTAGGTCCTGGGTTCGAGTCCCAGCGGGACCACAGAGTCGGTCCGACTCACCTGAACATGTGAGGGTTCTTCAGGCAGTAATGGGCCAGGACCTCCTCTGAGGGCCACACACCTGAAACACACACACACGTTCACTCTGTTAGTGGTACAGTACAGTACAGTACAGTACAGAACGGTACAGTACGGTACGGTTGGCTCAGATATTATGGGATGTTTCTGTGTTTGAGATGGAAGAACTCTTGTGTGCCGTCAGTCTGTACTAAATCTATGCAACACACACTCTTTTTTACTCAGAGCAGTGTCTACTGGTGTGTGTGTGTGTGTGTGTGTGTGTGAGAGAGAGAGAGAGAGAGAGAGAGTGTGTGACACAAGGGTCCAGTGGGTGATAATCACAGTGTGCAGGCCTGTCTGTCTTATCACCGACTGTCAGCCCTGCTCCTTCTGTGGATGCCATACACACACACACAACACCGATATACACACACACACACACACACACACACACACACACACACACAGTGTGTTGGCAGTGGAAGAAGTAAACATTGATTTGAATAAAAAGTTCAGCCCTTTTTTGTATGTGTGTGTGTGTGTGTAGCTGTTTGTGTTTGTGCACGTGTGAGTCAGTGTCGATGTGTGTGTGTGTGTGTGTGTGTGTGTGTCTGTTGTTAAGCTGTTGAGAAACATGAAGAGAGAAGAGTGAAAATGTAACGAAGGGTGAGGGAGGCAGGGAGACTGAAATGGGTGAGGTGAGGAGAGGAGTAGGGGGAGAAAAGGTGGGAGTCACTACAATAAGCAGCTTACAGACACCGTCTCTTCACCTCGTAGGGCAGACATCTCCCCCCCCTCCCTCCCTCCCTGCCTCACCCTCTCTTCCACTTTCCTCCCGCTCCAGTTCACCAAGATCCGCTGAAGCAGGAAGGATTTAATAATGTCTATTGATAAAGTGTCCGACTATTTTTTCACCATTAGAAACAGACCCACACACACACTCACACCCACACACACACTCACACACACACACACACTCTGTACAGTTACAGTGTTTAACAAGTTAAATCCTCCTCCGTCTCTGACTGTTAGAGTCAAACCAAACTAAGGTTCGCGTCCAGGTTTTTACACCAGTCTGAGTGGGAAATGATGATGAACGATGACAACACACTGACAGCGGTGACACCTGACACTCCTGTCTGAGGGGAGATGAACAGTAGAGGGCAGTAACGTGACATTGAAACTGTCTGTGACCCAGATGGAGACGCAAAACAAAAGAAGAACCCGGAGGAGTGGTCTCAGGTCTGAGGTTTGACCCACGATGATCAGAGATAAAATAAAAATAAAAATAAAAATAAAAATAAAAATAAAAATAAAAATAAAAATAAAAAAGAATTAATTAATTAATTAGAAATAAAAAAAAAATAAAAAATAAAAAATAAAAAATAAAAAATAAAATATAAAAATATTAAAATTAAAATTAAAATTAAAATTAAAAATTAAAAAAGTTAAAAAAAATTAAAAAATTTAAAAAAAAAAAAAATTAAAAGAGGTCAAACAAAAACAAATACAGAAGTAGAATACAAAAGGTACAGAATATCTGAGTGTCTAACTGTCAATAAACAGCCAATCATAACTCATCTGACTGTGATGTCATCAGGCTGGTCTGTGTGTGTGTGTGTGTGTGTTACAGACAAAGCTTTGTAAAGCATATGTGATTGTTAATCCCTTAACTCCAATTTTGTTAATAGTCTAGGGAGACAGGAAATCTCCCCTCCTTTGATCTCTGTGTGTGTGTGTGTGTGTGTGTGAGGGATCAGGACTAGAGCCGATGACTCTGACTGAGGATAATGAAATTATTTCTCACCTACAATTACTCAGATTAGAAATGGAAGCAGTGTTTTTGGCTTCACCGCGTGTGTGTGTGTGTGTGTGAATAAATGCGGAGGACCACTGGTCAAGAGTTGAAGTTATCACCAAAAATAAACCACTAGGACTGAATGTTGGCAGACAGAACGGTCTGAAAGACCCAGACCCAGAGAGAAGGTCCCAGCACCGAGTCCAACGAGTCTGAGCTCCAGGTCGGTGAGGGAGAAGAGGAGAGAGGAGAACGAGGAGCAAGTGGAGAACAGACAAGGAGGTGAGGACAGGAAAAATGCACTGAGCAGGAGAAGGGAGCGAGAGGAGGAGTCAAGATGGGGTTAAGTGGACCACGATGTTCCTACACACACACACACACACACACACACACACGTCATTACCACGTACTGAGATACACTAAAACACACTTCTGTTATTATCTAAATACACACACAGACACACACACGGCCCAGAGTGTCTCTCTGTGTGTGTGTCTGTGTGTGTGTGTGTGTGTGCGTCTCCATCGATGATCCGTCTCCACAGTTAGCGAGGCCTCAGATAATTCCTAAGCCTCCTCCATGGTCGATCCAATCAGGGATAAGGCCGTGGGTTAGACATGATCAACTGACAATCTGTCCTCTCATACGGCTACTTTAGAGCAGCCTGGGATTAGGAGGAGCAGCACAGACCGACGACACGCGCTCCTCCAGAGGTGAGAGAGAGCGAGAGAGAGAGACTGAGGGCGAGAGACCTACAGAGAGACTGATGGTTTTCCATGAGGAATTCAGGTTTAACGTCTGGATCAACCTGAGTTTCTGTCGGAGCTGCTGGATTTGGACAAAAGATTTCTTTAAAATTTAGAAATAAAAACAATAACTCCTTCAAACGGACAGTTTTAGAGTTCTAGATGTGGACCAGGGTCAGGGTCAGGGTCAGGACCAGATTCAACTGGACCCAGAAATACCAGCAGCAGCTGAATATTTCTGCCACAAAGTCGACTAATAGTTAGCCTTCAGATAAAGAAGGACCAAAATGAAGAGCACGGCAGGTGAAATGATGAAGGAGACCAGTGGTTGAACCACCTCTGGTACCGTCACCCCTGGTACTGTCACCCCTGGTACCGTCAGCACTGGTACTGTCACCCCTGGTACTGTCACCTCTGGTACTGTCAGCACTGGTACTGTCACCCCTGGTACTGTCACCCCTGGTACTGTCCCCTCTGGTACTGTCAGCACTGGTACTGTCACCTCTGGTACCGTCAGCACTGGTACCGTCAGCACTGGTACTGTCACCTCTGGTACTGTCAGCACTGGTACTGTCACCCCTGGTACTGTCAGCACTGGTACCGTCACCCCTGGTACTGTCACCCCTGGTACTGTCAGCACTGGTACTGTCACCTCTGGTACTGTCACTACTGTTTGGTCATCAGTCAGTTGACACAAAACGTGCTAATAAAAGTTAATAATAATAATGATACTGAGAGCTGCCTGTGTCACTCAGCTGTCCCAGCCGCCCCTGAACGCAGCGTTTCCTCCTCCTCTCTATTCAGCCTCGGCCAGAGGAGCAGGCAGTGTGAGATAAGCATCGACATTCTCGCCAACAGAGTCTGCCTCCGAGACACTCCTGATCCCTTTTTCCATTGGAATAGGCTCATTTTGACGTGCACTCTCGTGCACACGCAGACACTCAGGCGCTCACACACCGACACACCGTCGGAGGACGGTGTGGAGCTTCGATAAGCCTTCACTCTCTCTCTCTCTCTCTCTGTGTCTCTTCTGACTCATGGTTTTGGATTAGGCAGAGTATAATGAGAGCAGGGGGCTATCTGCCCACCACGCCTGCACCGTGGCCCCCCGCTCCTCTCTGAGGGGCTGGGACCAATCTTTACTCTGCTATTTATCCCCCTCCTTTGATAGCTTACTTATCTGCTGCGAAATGTCAGGGATGACTGCATGTCTAACTGCCTAGAACTGTCTGCTGCTCCTGCTCTCTGTCTGTCTGACTGACTGACTGTCTGACTGAATGTCTGACTGACTGTCTGACTGAATGTCTGACTGACTGTCTGACTGACTGACCCGACTCACTGACTTGACTGTTTCTGGTTTTGTCTCTACAAGGCCAGCAGAGAAAGAAGAAGAACAGAGGCGGATCCTAATTTTCTGACGCGACCCGTGATCCTGTCTTTGTGAAAAATAATTAAAAAGACGGTTCCGGGAGAAAAAACAGTTCCAGATTCATTTTCCACTCATTGTCCGACAGTTTCACGGCTCAGAGGAAATATCTGCAGAGTGAAAAATCAAATCTCCCCACAACAGAGAAAAGGTCAAACACTGTGTTTTGATTGGCCCGTTGGTGCCCATGTTTTCCTCACCTCCCACCTCACTGCATCGTACTGGAAGGGAAGGGGGGTAGCGGGGGGGTCGAAACACACAGCTCTCTGTTTGTGCCGTACTGTGTTTGCTTGACCTTTGACCCCTGCTCTCTTTTTGCAGGACAAACATCACAAATTAGTCCAAAAACAAACAAAGTCAGGCAGGAATATTCAGAAAGAAAAGCGCGGTGGCTCATCAGCGATCTTCAGTTCTTCTTCCTGGTCCAGGCTGAGGTCTCAGCTTCCATCATGGACTCAGAACCAAATCTTCTCTGGTGGACACTCAGGTGACGGACAGCTCATGGTCAGAAGTCCACAGAGGACCTCCTGTCCTGAGGTCATGATGTTTCCCTTCACTTCCTCATCAGAGACTAATGTTTTTTTCATATGAATTTATTACTTTGAAGTTTCACCAACATTGTTTGTTTTTTTGTGTGTGTGTTTGTGTGAACAGACACTGATTATCAAGTCAAGGAGCGGGGGCTGATTGGACACCACGACATGTTACTACGGTCAGGCATCGAGACAGAAATTGGGGAGGGGGGTGGGGAGGGGGGTGAGGGCGTCAGAAATCACATCCACAGCTACAGGACATCCAGGACTCACTCTGCTGCAACAACTGCAACTGATGCCTTAAACATGAGCCCAGATTTCCCATCTGGTTGAAGAGGTGCAGTGGGAGGACGAGAGGAGAGACAAATAGAGGAAGGGGGAGGTTTGTGAGGGCGGCAGGGGTGAGCGGCGGGGGGGGGGGGGGGTTGGGGGGGAAGGTGAGGGAGGCAGAGACTAAAGGCTGAGTATGTGAAGGGACTCAGGGAGAGAGAGAGAGGAGAAACAGGTGCAAACTTGTGGCTAAAATACAGTATTGTCCTTTCAAAGTAAACTGAACT